GTGCCCTCTCGTGACACATAAGTAAAGACACAGACACAAATCTTTTCTTAAGGGTTTATGTTTCTCTCACTTTTAGCCGTATGTGTTAAATACGTGCACATGAGTGAGGTCCCCATGGAGGCTCTAGCTACAGCTTAAGTTACAAGCAGTTGGGAGTCACCTAGGAGTCAAACTTGGATCCTCTGGAGGAACAGTAAATGCTCTTAACCACTGAGCAATCTCTCCAGCCCCAAATAAAATTTTTAAAAAAGTAATCTAAAAACCAAAAGTCTCTGGTCAAGCAGTCTCTCAATTAGTCTCTTTTTTTTCTCTCTCACTCTCACACACACTAAACAACAGACAAGACAACGAAAACATACAGGGTTTAAGCCATTGATACTTTAAAAGAACAAATAAATAATAATAAAGGCTGGTAAGATGGCCCAGTGGAGTGGGAATGTAAACTTGTATAACCACTTTGGAAATCAATGTGGTGCTTTCTCAGACAATTAGGAATAGCGCTACCTCAAGATCCAGCTATACCACTCCTAGGCATATATCCAAAAGATGCTCAAGTACACAACAAAGATATTTGCTCAACCATGTTCATAGCAGCTTTATCCATAATAGCCAGAATCTGGAAACAACCCAGATGTCCTTCAACAGAGGAATTGATACAGAAATTGTGGTACATTTATTTACATAATGGAATACTACTCAGCAATTAAAAACAAGGACATCATGAAATTTGCAGGCAAATGGTGGAAACTAGAAAAGATCATCTTGAGGTATCACAGAAGCAGAAAGACACAAATGGTATACTCATTAATAAGTGGATATTAGACATATAATATAAGATAAACATACTAAAATCTGCACACCTAACAAAGCTAAGCAAGAAGGAGGATCCTGAGTCAGACACTCAATCCTCATTCAGAAAGGCAAATGGGGCAGACATTGGAAGAGGGAAAAAACACAGAGGGCCTCTAAAAGACTGTACCCAGTAGGGTATTGAAGCAGATGCTGAGACTTATAGCCAATCTTTGGGCAGAGTGCAGGGAATATTATGAAAAAAAGGGGGGACAGAAAGACCTGGAGGGGACCAGAGCTCCACAAGGAGAGCAAGAGAACCAAAATATCTGGGCATAAGGGTCTTCTCTGCAACCAAGGACCATGCATGGAGATAACCTAGAACCACTGCACAGATGTAGCCCATGGCAGCTCAGTGTCCAAGTGGGTTCCGTAATAAGGGGAACAGGGGCTGTCTCTAACATGAACTCAGTGGCTGGCTCTTTGATCACCTCCCCTGAGATGGGGCAGCCTTACCAGGCCGCAGAGGAAGACAATGCAACCAATCCTGATGAGATCTGATAGGCTAGGGTAAGATGAAGGGAAGAGGACCTTCCTTATCAGTGGACTGGGAAAGGGGCATGGAAGGAGGAGAGAGAGGGTGGGATTGGGAGGGAATAAGGAAGGGGGTTACAGCTGGGATACAAAGTGAATAAATTGTAATAAATTTTTAAAAAAGAAAAAAAAAAAAAGGCTAGTCTGGCTCAGTGGGCAAAGGCACTTTGGCCTCTTAATTTTGATCCATAAAACCCACACGGTGGAAGGGGGGGAAATTTATCCTTAGTTGTCCTCTAACATCCACATGTAAGCAAAGACATGGGCACGCATGTACACATGTTCATGCACACGCACATACTAAATGTAATTTTAAAAAAAATGGATGAAGGGTATAAAAAAAGAAATTATTTAAAATATGCACCAGGGGTTGAAGATAGCTAAAAAGTTAAGAGCATTTGCTCCTAAAGAAAAAGACCCAGGTGTCAGAAATGGTTTATTTTTAAAAACAAAGTTCCCAGCCAGGCACACACCTATAATCCCAGCACCTGGGAGGTAGAGGCAGGTGGATCTCGGAATTCAAGGCTAGTCCAGGACAGCCAAGGCTACATAGAGAAACCCTGACTTGAAAAACTTGAAAAATGTAACCTATCTGACTCTGTTACATCAGCAAAAATGGATTGAGACAATGAAACGAAAGTTTCTTATATTTAGGCAACGATGTAGAAAAAAATAAACATTCCTTTTTGGTAGAATAATTATTACGATTTTTCAAAAGTGGCTTCGCATTCTATTACAATGTCAAATATTCACCCACATTGACCCAGGGCTTTTTGTTTTTTTCTATGACTTTATCTTATATTCTTTTTTGTTTTGTTTGAGACAGGGTTTCTCTATGTAGCCATGGCTGTCCTGGAAGTCCCTCTGTAGACCAGGATGGCCCCAAACTCAGAGAAATCAGTCTGCCTCTGCCTCTGCCTCCCACGTGCTAGGATTAAAGGCATGTACCGCCACCACCACCACGGGCATATCCTACCATTCTTATTAAGAGCGCACATAACGGTAAAGAATACTTACTATGGATCTATTTGTAGCAATAACAAAAACATTGAGAAATACCCTCGATGGTCTCTATGGTCTACTGGATACTGGAAAACTACGCTGTCTTTAACTAATATGTGAAATTCAGGAGTACAAGGACAGTGATCTAAGTCCATTACTTAGCCAAAGATATTGCTATTTGGTTGGCTCGGCATGTAAGTGTTTGCCACACAAGCTCAACCTGATTTGAAACCTAAAGCCACAGTAGTAGGACAGAATTACTCTAAGAAAGTCATCCTGTAATCATTACACATGGGAAGGGCCCACGCTCACATATAGTGTGATAATAATAGTGTTAGTATTAAAAATAGCCAAACAAGCCAGGCTGTGGTGGCACATGCCTTTAGCCCAGCACTCAAGATTTCTATGAGTTCAAGGCCAGCCTGATCTACAGAGCAAGTTCCAGGACAGCCAGGAGTACACAAAGAAACTCTGTATCAAAAAAAAAAAAAAGAGAGAGAGAGAGAGACAGAGAGGAGGGAGGGAGGAAGAAAGGGAGGAAAAAGAGGAAAGGAGGGAGGGAGAAAGAGGGCTTGTTATCTCAAGAAAGCCTTGGTCAGGAACAGTAACACAGCTTCGTATTTTCAGGTTGTTTTCAGCTCCTAAATGAGTCTCCACATTTCCACAAGTTACTAAAATGAAGAACTGAGGGGCAAATTTTCTGTTATTGTCTTAAGATTCCAGTTAGGGTAAACAGAGATTCCTAACCGTTTTCAATCTTCAGCTTTTAGAATGCACATGTGAGTGCGTGCACACCCGTGCACACGCGAGCACACACGCACGCACACACACGAAAAGCTAATGGGATATGGCAGTGAACAAAGACTACCTACTGACAGAATGACTGGCCCAGGATTCTTTCTCCTTAGCCCCAGCCCTAGTGAGCTGTGAGCATTAATGCCTTGGCAGATCTGTCATATAGTGCTGGCATATCCACTTAAAGTGTGAGGCATATAACACATCTCTTTTTTGAGAAATAGGTTTTTTTTTGTGTGTGTGTGTGTGTGTTTAGCCCTGGCTGTCCTGGAATTTGCTTTGTAGATCAGGGTGGCCTCAAACTCAGAGATCTCCATCTCAAAGAATCCTGCCCCAGAAATCCAATCAGGGGTCGGCCCCCCCACACAGCTCAGGCTGAGGTGTGTTAAACGGGGCTCATGCTGGCTGTGGTGGTGCATAACTTGAATCTAGCGCCTGGGAGACAGAGGTGGGTAGATCTCCGTGAGCTGAGGCCAGCCTGGTCTACACAGCAAGTTCCCAGTCAGCCAGAACCAAAGAAAGGGAAAAGAAGTGGCTCTTGTTAGCTGCTTTTCCATCTCTGTATTCGAAAAGCCAGTGGGGTGCAAGAAGTCTGCCCGTGCCCTGAGGAGCGCAGCCACTGTGTGAATGCAAGCACTCTGTGCGTTTTGTTTGGTTTGCCATTTGGCTATACTGTAATGTTAACAGAGCAAATGAGTAACTGTCTCCAAGAGAAGTATAGATAACCACTGGATTCCTGAACTGGCTGAATTTAGAAGGCTTACTAATTTGTTTTTTTGAGACAGGGTTTCTCTGTGTAGCCCTACCTGCCCTAGACCTCACTCTATAGAATAGACTGTCCTGAAACTCAAAAGATCCACCTGTCTCTGCCTTCTGAGTGCAAGAACCAAAGATATGGCCAAGTATTTTTTTGTTATTGTTGTTTTTGTTCTTGAAACAGGGTTTCTCTGAGTATCCTTGGCTGTCCTGAACTTGCTTTGTAGACCAGGCTGGCCTTGAACTCACAGAAATCCATCTGCCTCTGTCTCCCAAGTGCTGGGAGGGATTACAGGCGTGTGCCACTTTGCCCAGCTCAGAGCATGTCTTTTAAAAGCATCTTTCAACCATACAATTACAGTCACCTGACCAGTATTTACTATGCATAAACAAGTACCAACCACTCCTCTACATACAGCACTTATCATCACAAAGTATCAGAGGGAAGTATCAGGGAAAGACAAGGCAATCAATGTAAGATAAACCCTGTTGCATAAGGAAGGTATCAAGATTATTACAGAGTCTAATGCTTAAGCAAAGGGGTGTGCCAATAAATACTACACAGAAGGCTGAAGAGTATTTCGGACAATTACACAAGTGCCAAGGCCTAAATACAAGAACCCTGTCAGAGCAGAAAAGAGGCTTCTGCACCACACCAGAAGATGCAAGGAGGAAGTTAATTTTGTGGTTTCATTTCGTGTACTTTGATAAGGACTGTAAGCGAGGAAACAGTCAAGATCACAAAAGCTGGGAAAGCATGTGCCTTCCAGCAAACCCTCAAGAAAGGAGGAAACCCCTGGGTAAATCTGCAAACACAGACAACCACTGATCTGCAAGTGCCTTGTATGAGCTTACAAGCTTATAGACAGAAGTGCATGCATAAAGTTCAAAACAATTTTATTGGGGTTTCCACTGAAAAAGAACAGAGCATTATTCGTTTTTTTAGATCATTCACTTGGTATATATACAGGAAAAGGAAAGCAAATCTCCCATTGTTACTATGTATCCTGGTGTTAAAAAGTTAGCAGATCAAATACCACACAAAAGCAAACACAAGAATTTACCTCTCTGCCTGTGAGGATGTGTCTTGCCAATTTCACTTTTGCAAAGTTCCCCTTGCCGATTGTTTTCAACAGTCTGTAGTTTCCGATGTGAGGCTGTTCATCTGCACAGGAAGCTATTGAGTTTCTACACCGAGCTCCAGAGCGCCCGGTGCGCGAGGTGACTTCTTGCCTCCCATCTCCATGTGAAGTGTGCTGAAACGTAACGTACACAAAGACAAGGAAATAAGAGGACATGCAGTGCTGCCAAGTTTTAGAAGCATCTATTAGAAGAAACAAGTATTAAGGTTTTCACGTGAATCCTAAAGGACTGAACCACATGATACAATTTATGAGGGAAACAAGAGACTGTTCCAAGAAGCAGATCAAGTGTTACAGCTCAATCCAGTACTCTGAGAGCTGAGTCAATTCCAACTTAAGATTTTTCAAATTTACTATGGTACATGTAGAAGAAACCGTACTTCAATGTTGCATTGCAACTGTTTCCTAGGCACACAGTATGACAGCTGAAAAACGTCAACAGGCCCTGATGGAAAAGTAATAACCAAGACTCTACGTGCACAGTAGGGCCAGCCTTTTTTATGGATACAGGTATTCAATTACCCAAGATACACAGCACTTTTTAATAAAATGGAGGGGTTTGTTTTAGGTGATTTCTGCAAAACTGCAGGCTAATTTAAGTATTCTAAGTATATTAACATAGGCCAGCTAAACTAAGCTGTTAAGGGTAATATTAGAAAGACATTTGCAGTAAGAATTACTACACTGTGACCCCATGTCAGAAGCAGCTGAATTTTGAATAGGTGACTATCACATAAAACAGAGTTAACTCTTGCAAACTATATCTGTGCTTCTGATCCTCACCACAACCTGTGAAGGAGCAGAATTAATGTCACCAGTCAGTGATGACTATGGGGCCAATAGCCATCTGGTGACAAGTTCAAAGAATCTATGTTACCATCTCTTGCTACATTCAATCAGCTTTTTTCATTTTACCTATTAGTTTTATTTTAGGGCTTTTTGGGCTTTGGGGAGTTTGGTTTTGAAGCATAGGCCTGGAAAAGAAGCTCAGAGCAATGTCTCTCCTGCAGAGGACTCAGCTCAACACCATCCATCCATAACTCCAGTTCCAGTGGGTCTGATGCCCTTTTTGTTTTGTTTTTTTTTTAAAGATTTATTTATTTATTATTTATACATGCACATCTGCATGTCAGAAGAGGGCACCAGTTGGGGATTTAGCTCAGTGGTAGAGCGCTTGCCTAGCAAGCACAAGGCCCTGGGTTCAGTCCTCAGCTCTGGGAAAAAAAAAAAAAAAAAAGAAGAAGAGGGCACCAGATCTCATTATAGATGGTTGTGAGCCACTATGTGGTTGCTGGGAATTGAACTCAGGACCTCTGGAAGAGCAGCCGGTGCTCTTAATCTCTGAGCCATCTCTCTAGCACCCCTGATGCCCTTTTCTAACTTCCACAGACATCACACACATGATGTACAAACATGCATGCAGGCAAAACCTTCAAGCATATAAAATAAACCTAAAACATTTTTTTTTTTTTTTT